GGAGGCCGAGGTAAAATTAGGCAAACTCGGGGCTGAAACACCATTATAACGACCTCGGACGAGATGCTAGGAGACCTCCCTTCCGAGCTCGGGGGCCTGTATGTTGATATCCGAGTTAGCCAGGAATGAACCGGATGACGTCGCCTACCAAAACCCGAGTTCGGGACCCGGTCTGGAGTAGAAGTATCGAGCTGAACCGGGAAATAAAGTGCTCAGGATCCCCCGGGGAAGCGGTTTCCGAGACCGGCACCCAGCTCAGTAAATGCACGAGCCGGGCTGATGTGGTGCCGGGCTAAAAGATGGATCCAGTGCGTCCCATGAACATATTCAAGAAAAGTGCCGACCTGAAGATCCAGAGCGGTCATCCCAAAGGTCAGAACGGGGCTCGGAGAACATTAAAATACTCCCACTTGGAAGATCATCATTGGACGATGGGACGGGCTGTCATAGTCTGTCACTCTACAAGCAAGCCTAGTCAAGAAAGCCTGCCCGCATTAAATGCCCCCCATGCTCGCATTAAATGCCTGACAGACAATGATTGAAGAAACCTCAAATCGCATTAAATAGATGTCAGGACGACGCCGAACTGCTCTGCAAAAACTATTGTGCGACAAGATCGGTGAACAGTACCTCATTTAAGCATACTATAAATAGCAGCTCACTTCATTTATTTTGGGTTGTTGAATCTCAACTAACTCTGCCTTCTCTCTACTATCTCTCTCTAAAAACTGTAAGAAATATCCTGTAAAAATTGTAAGTATATCGCAAGTGCCGACCTCGTACGAGAGGCCGACCTCGTGATCATTTAATAAAATCATAATTAAACTATATCTTTCCTTTGTTTCCGGTCTTGCACGTTTATTATTTACTATTTTAACCGTTGACCGAAAATGCTCGTCAACATAAACATAGTAAAAATGCTACATCCACACCAGGGTGTATATGGGTAGCATCGACTCTACCCATATTATGAAAGACAATAATGCTAAGGAGCCAACAACCAGTAGAACAACTGGTATCATTGGCTGTTGGTACCGTAACGAAGCCACTAGTTGGCTCCTTAGCATCACGGAAAAACTATTTTTTTTTTTTTGGACGTGTTTATTGTCCACTAGAATAGTAGATTTTTAAAAGGAAATTATAATTTCTATATAACAATTTTAAAGCATGAATTGCAATCTGGCCGTCATACTCCTCTAAAGCCCTAAACCCTATTTTTCCCGCCGGTGGGAGCAAACAACATTTTTCCCCATCTTTCCTCTTCTCAGATTCTGCTGCGATATTGAATTCTCCTGCCAGAGACAGCTGTAAAAACGATTTAGGCGTGAGCAGAAATGGCTCTGAGGAAGGAATGGCGGCCGCACCTGGCTCAGGAAAAGGACTACGAACCATTGCGCGAGATTTTCAAGCACCACATTGATTCGTTTGACCACATGGTGGAGCATGGAATCGAGAATATTTTGCTCAACATAAATCCCGTTGAAGTTGTGGATTCTATCTCCAAGACGAAGCTTAAAAATATCCTCTTTCTTTTATATAGTTGATTCGTGAAACCCACAATCTTATAGTGGGTTTATTTGGGAGTTCGGTATGAGGAAATGTTTATTGTTCATTAATGCTGTGATTTTCTTTGAGTTTTTATTTTTTTAACCTTTGTTGAAATGACGTGACTTTTCTGCTCTCTATGTGTTTGATGACCTTATTCTGTTGTTATACTTCGATATTTGGTTTGGTTGATTGTTGATTCTTGACTGAAGACATACTTTGGTTTGAAAATGGTGAAATATTCCCTCCACAGAAGGAGCGGTCTTCAGGAACCTTGGCTGATGCTCTGTATCCCTTTGAGGTAAGAATGTAGTTTGCCTCCCAACAAAGCTTCATGTCTCGAATCACTTATATACCTTGAGTAACGATATTAATCTCTGTGTGGGAGCAGTGTAGACAAGCAAAACTCTCATATGCTGGGAGGTTCATGGTGGATATTAAGTTCCAGTATGATGATGGGGTCATTATAAGAGAAAAATTTAATCTGGGTCAGTTTCCTATCATGTTGAAGGTAAGTGATTTGATGCTTGTGGCTTTCCTGATAACGAGGTTAATCAATTAGTCTGACATAACATCTCCATTTTATATAATAATTTTGTTGTTGTTGTTTTGTAACTTTGTATTATATCACTAGATATTGATGTTTTGCGTGTTGGGCATGCCCAGTTAGATGCTAAGTGAGGATGATACAAAAATTTTGGATGTAATAACTGGATTTTAGTATTACCCTAGTTCAATTTGTGCTGAGGAACACTTTTCCATACTTCTAAAACTGTATGCTTGTAGAAATGGTCATAAATATTGTTGAAGTATTTGGTATGTAATAAAGACGATGGTTGAAGTAAGAAAGATTGCATGAGGAACCAACAACAATTGGAAAATTAAAAAAAAAAAAAGAAAAAAAAGACAGAATCTCTTTATTGATGTTTGAGCCTTAGAGGAGTCGACTAGTAACTTTAGTGTGATTTTAGCAATTTATCTTTAGTTACATTTGTTGTGTTCCTGGTTTATCTGACACGGCAAATTTTGGTGGTTTGTGTGTAGTCCAAAGTGTGTCATCTTAAAGGCGCAAATGATCCCAAAACATTAGCTTTACACAAAGAAGAGCCTACTGAAATGGGAGGGTAAGTAATTTTTTCTTTATCTCTTGCTCCTCACAGACACACGCAACAAGTGATTTTATGTTTTTAACCTTTTTTCAATGATACTACAATTTCATCAATGCTATTTACATTTTTCCCTTAGATACTTCATCTTAAATGGGCTTGAGAGAGTTATTCGTCTTCATATATTGCCAAAGAGAAATTATGTAAGTATATCTATTGTTCTCACGAATACCTAAAAATGCAATGCTGCAGAGAAGAATTGAGAATTGAGTTGCCCATCTTTCGTTGTATTAAATTGTAGCGATACTTCTACATACTGATTCATTTTGTATGATATCATCCATTGCCTTTCTTCTTATTGTCCTTTACTTACATGTATTTTTTCTTTAGCCAATGAGCACAGTGCGAAGTTCATTCCGTGAGCGGCGTGAAGGTTATACTGATAAAGCTGTGATCATAAGGTTTCATTTCTTTGCTACATCTGGCCTCTTGATGATTTACATGTATCGATTGTAAGAATTAAGAGACATGTATATTGCACTGTAAAACTTGTTTGTGGTCTTTCATGTTCGAATATATCTGTACTATCGTAGATTGTAAAAATTCGACCAAGTCAGGCAACCATTTTATGTTAATAATATCTTTCTTACCCATTTTACCATGCTGTAAGATAGGTCACTTGTTGATTGATATTAATTTTATGGCACTAGATGAAAAAGTAAATTCATAGCTACCTGATATAGATGACCTAAAACTGAAATAATAATACCTACTCTTATTTGTTTTGCTTCATGTTTGCATGCGAAAGGAGTTTGTCAATACAGTTATACAAGAACCTTTTTCAGTATAGCAAAGAAGCTGTGCTTCTTAAAGCTCAACGAGTTCTTCCGTTACATTTGCACGTGACAAAAATTGTACTTTTGTGTGTCCTGCTAAATATTTGGTTTTAAACTCTCAGGTGTGTTAGGGAAGATCAATCTGCCCTGACCGTAAAACTATACTATCTTAACAATGGGAGTGCAAGGCTTGGGTTTTGGTGAGGAATTTATTTCTCGCTACTCACTGGACCTTTACATTCACTGTCAAATCAGGAAATCTAAGTTTTTCCTCATCCAGGATACGAGGGAGAGAATTTCTAGTTCCTGTTGGAATCATATTAAAGGTATCATGAAATTTCTTGTCTTAGTGTTTTGTTGTTGTAAAGTGCTTGTAAAGCTGCTCCAAAGTGGTTATATATGTCTAGCCCTTTACTGATACATTCTACTGTTTGCTTCTATTACTGACTTATATGACGATTCAGATTAATTTGATGTTTCAATTAAAAATTGATGATGTTGCATCATTGTCGAAAATAAACTTCAAGTCGAAAATCGAAAAATAATAGGTATGTAATTGGTTTAAAATTTTTGAGGAAGGTGAGAAACTCATATGGCTTCGGTAATGCAAGGGATACTGATGAGCATGACCTAGAATTGTGTAAAGTTTGGATTCTGGGTGAATTGTTTGCAAAATGTAGTATGGTTTATTGAGCCTAACTGACTGAAACTAAGTTTTTGATTTACTCAAAATAGAATCCTAGTTTCAGTTCACGGCTAATGTTTTTTCTGTTATTCTTCCCTTTTAAACTTCTTTTCTAATTCGAGTTTTCTGTCAGCTGAACCTAATCTACACCAATTTGTAATTTTAATAAAAAAAAAAAAAAATTGTTGTAAGTGAGCTGCACCAACTAATTATATTTATTATAATTTTGGTCGACTGACTATTTTGGTTCCGATGAGTTCGTTGGAAATTAATGTTCGCACCTATACAATTGTAAAATTAAGTTTTGTTAGCACTCTCTTAAAAGTACATTGGAAATTGATTTTGAGATTTATAGTTTGTGTTTCTTAAAGTCAATTTTGAGGAAAGTAGTTGTCGCTGCTTCTCTCTTTTCTCACTCTCCGTTTTGTGTAGGCTTTGACTGAAACAACTGATCATGAAATCTATTTGAGTTTGACATGCTGTTACGATGAGAAGTATGATCGGGTTAAAGGTGCTGTTGGCACTCAACTTGTTGGTGAAAGGGCTAAAATTATTTTGGATGAGCTTCATAACTTGTCTCTTTATACCCGGACTCAGTGTCTGCAACATATTGGTACTGACCCTCAACTGCAGTTTTCGTTTCTCACATGTACGGATGACGTTCTCTAATGCTTTTGATTTTGCAGGGGAGAATTTCCGACCTCTTATGTTGGGACTGGAGAAAGAAAGCTCTTCAGTCGTAAGTTCATCTCTTGATATGGATTATACAAACATGATAATCAGTGATCATAGCTATTTCTATCATCTCCTGTGCCTTACTGACACGTCTGAAGATAGTTTGCACATTCCTCAACATATTTTAAGTGATGAGATTTTCAATCTTCCACTGGAATCGTTGACTTTCCTTTTGCAGGTCGCTGATGCTGTGTTAAGAGATTACATACTTGTCCATCTGGAGGACAATATTGACAAGTTCAATCTACTCATGTTAGTTCCCTGCCAATGCGTTATTTTATGTGATAATTAGCAGTCTTCTCCTCAGGTTTCCGACTTTTATATAAGTTCAGCTGATCCAGATGTCAATTTAGCTTCATGTTGCAGAAGCTGTTTTCTCTAGTAGACCAGACTTCGGTACCAGACAACCCAGATTCGTTACAAAACCAAGAAGTTTTATTGCCTGGACACTTGATAACTATTTATCTCAAGGTAAAGGATTTGATATTCTTTTCATTCAACTTTGATTGCTTGCGCGTCATAATCTGAATTGTTATATAAAGCTATATTTGACGTGACAGACCTCTGTTAGTTCCAAGCTAGATGTAGTTGACGTGGATGAACATGCTTGTAGAATTCACCTTTTTGTTAAGTGAGGAGTATAATGAAGATGTGATTCTAGGTTATATTTCTGGAAAAATCCGGTGTTCATTATTCTATATTTCGACAATTGGATGTCCTTTTTTTTTATCTCTTTACCCTTCGTCAAAAACATAGTTTTAAATGGCGAAGGGCGAGGCGAGCTGAGGTGATTCGCCATGGCAAGGCCTCGGCAACACAAGCCAATGCCATCAAAGTTTGAAAAAATATATATGGTAATATCATATACTTAAGTTTAAATGCGAAAAAAACTTACAAGCCATCAAAGCTTGGAAATATATATATATATATATATATATACACACACACACACACACTAATATCATATATTTAAGTAAGTGCAAAAAATAACCTTAAATATATCTTCACAGAAAATAATATATATTAAATTTAATTGTAATTACTAAAAGCATCTAAAACTTAAATGTGAATACTAATAACATTACGAAGAAAAAATAAAATAGAAAAAAATTTAAAGAAGGTAAATAAAAAAAAGTGTAAAGTAAAAGTAAATGAAAGAAAAGATGATGCACCCTTTCACCTTTGACTATTGACCATACTAGTAAACATAAATAAAGTACAAAATTAAGAAAAAAGAAAGAGAGAAGGCAGAAACGAGAACGGGAAAACATATAAAAAGTAGGAAAAGAAAGGAAAAGCATGCATGAACGGTCGTCTTGGCGGCGGCGAGATGGCGGCCGAAGGTCAGGAAATGGGATGGTCTGTCATGGGTTTATGCAATTTTCAGATCTGAGATGCCTATGGAGTTCTTTCGCCGAAACCCTAGTTTGGGGAGAAGTCCAAGACGGATGGGGTGAAGCACGCTTTTGCGTCCCCTTTGGCGTGACTGCGTGAGAGAGGCGTCGCGAAGCTCGTGCTGCGATGACGGGCCGCCTCTGTCTCGGGTAAGGCGATTTTACCTTCGCCTTGGCATCGCCATTTAAAACTTTGCTCAAGAATTACCAACATACTAGTACGACAACCATGTACTACACTACACGGGTGTTTGAAAAAAATGTATAATAAAAAATAAATATAGACTAATAATTATATTCTTATTGTGAAATCATAAAAATAAATGTACAACAAATAATGAATAACTAATAGAATGATAACTATTTGAAATGACACATGTTTTTTACCTTAAAATTGTAAAAAATGACAATCATTGTAATTACATTTATAAAATTATATATGTAGAGCATAAATATTATTTACAACTCTGTCAATTCAATTTTGAATTTTGTAAAATTAATTCCAAACATATATTATAATTGTTATCTATATTAAGCGAGTCGCTTTATCTCATCTAGTATTTCTTTAAGTATCATACATACATGGATGGAAATAAGTTAAAACACTGAAATAATCACCTGCAATTGTAATATTTGATTATGTTAATCTAACTATTTTTATATAATTATAAATAAGTTTAAAATTTGAGTAAAGTAATAAAAAATATTTAAGTAATATTATTTACTTTTAAATTAATTAACCATAATGTTGGAATTGTATAATAATCTAGTACATTATATTCAAATAGTTTACAATATATGACTATATACATATACTTTCACCCATTCTTTAGATAAAATATTGCATATTGGTGGTAAATATTTTCAATCAATTAAATGGATTTTTTTTTTTTTTTTAAGAATCATTGCTATTGAACTCGAATCCGTTCTAAAAAAGTCAAGGTATCTCGAATTATTTGTTGAGACGGACAAAGTCAGGGAAAACATATCTCATATTTTATAATATGGGGTCATGTATTTTTGGCAAATATGTGATGATTTAAATGTCAAAATTCAGATAAGTTGATAAATTTGTCATGTATTATAATACCTCAATTAAATTTGATAGTTTTAAAGTAATTGTGAGTACACATTTAAGAAAAAAGACTGTAAATATCATAAATTAAGTGTTTTATAACTTCAAGTAATAATAACATACCCAAATAATTGATTATTGACACAAAATTTGGGATAAGAAACTCTAAATTAGGTGTTCTATAATTTAAAAAAACCACAAGTTACCTTGATATCCTAATCTTGTTTAATAATAGATAATATATCATATAGGCCATGACATACTATACTTAACATCATATGATAATACTTAGAATCCGGAAACCCTATATTTATGTACTTGATATTATTCAGTTTGTAACTAATAATTTTGTCCCAAAATCACTATCATTGTTGCATATTAATTGGATAAATTTGAATCACCTGAATGTAGTTGTTTATATATATATATATATATATATACATTTTAATATGAGAGAAAATATTAAAATAGTAACACAATTAATTATGTTTTATTTGTCCTATTTATTATATTATTTAGTTAATAATAATTTACAATATGAATTATGTTTATCAACCATCACATTCAGTGACTTTATAAATTATAATTAATAATTTTATTATTTCAAATTTGATATTTACTTATTGTTTTCTTGATTTTCAACATCATAATACCGTCTAATCATTTGCATACATTATTTAAGTGGTAGACATTATTTTTAGATTTTTTTACATTCATTCTATGTTTAAACTTAACCTCTGCATATTTTTTTCTTAAAACTATAGAAAATACAAAAAAATAAAAAATAAAATTTATGGTATATTTATCTAAATATATATTTATTTTATAAGATAATATATATATTTCCATTTGTATTTTTTATAATTTAGTTTGATAAATAAATTTAAATTTTTTACTTAAATGAAATTAATTTTAAATTTTGTATGTGTGATAGAGATGTCATATTGAATATCGTTATTTTGGTAAATCATACCTGGAAAACAAAATACAATAAAAAGTTATTAACTTATAAAAAATGGTAAAAAAAAGTATGGTGTTTAATAAATAAAGTAAATGAGAAATAATAACATCACTTTTGTATGGTGAGATATGATATGTGAAAGAGAAAAGAGGACAAAAATAAATGCATATTTACCAAAATTGCAAATAAAATATTTATGTCATACTGATTCGAAAGCAATAATATATATACAAACCCAATTAGGAAGCACAGAATTTTGCCATGCGAGCATCCAAAGTGTGTGAGACTGCCGCTTAGGCTCAACGCGTTTTGAATTAATATATAGGGGGTATTGCGTGATTAGTTCACACTCCTGTCCGTAGATAAAGTTGTTGGATGCTAGCTAATATGGCTAATTAAATGTGATGAGATTCTTGATATCCTGAATCCTCCTAATGATTGGCAAATGTTCAAAAGACTTGTAAATTGTGTCATGTGGTGCTTTTGGCAAAGTGATTGAGTTGTAGTGCTTTTGGTCTGACAAACAATAACAAATGGATTTTAATAAGCATTTCAAGACATTTCCCATGAAATTATGTACTCACAAATATTGATTTGGTCTACTTGATTACACCTACAGTAGGTGTATTTAATAGTTTCTTGTATACCTAAGCATGAGACTGTGTTGCAGATTATCATGAAGTGTGATATTAGTGAATCTTATAGGTCTGGTCATTGATTAGTCTGTTGACTAGTGTCTTTGCTTTATATTAATGACTTCTTTAGTTACACGAGTTATTTATCTTGTTGAGTACAGGAAAAATTACAAGAGTGGTTGTACAAGATGAAAAAGTCTCTTCAAGAAGAAGTTGACAAAAGGGCAAAGTTTGAGTTGAGCAATTGTATGTTCTAGTATCTATTTAGATTTATAGCTTTCTCTAGTTTCCTCGTATTTTGTGGTGGAACTGATGTAGATGTTGTTTGACTTTTAATTGTTTCAATTTTCTCCGTCTATGCTTTCTAATTGTTTTGTTAGTTTTTTCTGCTTCTATCGTAGTGAAACTCTGTTCCTAAAGGTGTATCCCTTTTGTGAATTTCCAGATGTGTTTGTTATTTTCCAGTTTTATAATTGCCTTTTTACAAGTGGCAAATCCATAGGTCTTAGTTGGCTAGTCTTTGGTTCTTTTCAACCTGAGCTGTTTAGAGTCTGATATATATTTGTTTGGATTGAAAGCTAGTTACACATTCTTTTTCTCCGCCTACTTATGAGAAGGGAAACCACAAGATAAGAGTGGGTCCATCTAATCCCAACATTTACAGAACCAAGCTCTCTTATAGTGAGTTTAGGAGTAGTATGCGATACATTATACGACTTTCATTTGATAGGTCTCCTTTTTCCCCTAAATAAAGAGGCACACACACACACACACAAAAATGCATGTTAGCGAACTTCTCCAGAAGCAGGAGGTCATGGTAGCAATTTAATATATCATTGGGTATCTTAAATCCTTCCTGTCTAGTTTGTGTGTTTGGTATTATATAACACTACTTAGTATTTCTTTACTGAACATGACCTGGAGTAGAATTTCAGCGAGAGGGCTTGTTTTGCGGTACTGGAATCTATAATGTAAAAATAATGATCATAATCTATTACATTACACGTATTTCCGGGAGTCACGTAAATTCTAATTATTGACTGTTCTTGTTGGATTCTGTGCTCAAGGTTCTAGGTGATTTATATTGTATCAAGTATTGCAACTGCTTGACCTGGTATTTTTTTCTTCTGCAGTGCCAGATGTCAAGAAAATCATCGAGAAAACTGGTCCACGCCAAATTAGTCTTGCTATTGAGAATATGTTGAAGACTGGAAGACTGGCTACGCAGTCAAGTTTGGATTTGCAGCAGGTAGAGTACAGTGGTATTCACCTTCAATATTAGGGAGCAACAATCTAAATGTACTGATTTGAGGAATTTACTATTTGTGTACTGTGTCTTCTAACATTGTGAGTAGAAGTTGAACTTTAAATCAGCATATTTCTGATAACTAAGTAGAAAATTCTTGCTTAATGTTTTAGAACTCAGGCTATTTGCACTGGTGGTTGGTTTATGTTCTGTACTTGCCAACGATCTGTATGATCAGAGTGATCAGTAGGGAAGTTTGGCTGTGTATAATAAATGCATGGTGTGTGGTATAAATGGGGTTGTCAAAGATAAGTTGTTTGTTATATAGTTAAGGCAACATACTTGATGTAATTTGATATGTGAAAAAACATTACTTGTAAATCTTGGAATTTGTGTGTCCATGAGGTAAATGCTGCAAAAGCTTGTTCTGAGTAGAGTTGTCAATGCATAAGAGAAAATCTGTTCCGGCACAGATGACATCACAACCTAAATGTAGAAATATTTCTTGTCAAGATGATTTTCACATTGATCCTTAGACGTGACATCTGGTAACTTGTGCTGTACCATGAGCATTATGTGTATTGATCATGCAATGTTTATATATGCCATTTCTCATGGCAGAAGAATATATGGCTAATAGCACTTTGTTTGATGAGTTGTTTCTTTGTTGATGCAGTTCTTTTGGTACTGCATGCAGTACAAATTGCTGATATTTCCACTCTTGTTTTTTATGATTTCTAGAAAGCTGGGATGACAGTTGTGGCTGAGAGACTAAATTATTTGCGTTTTGTATCACACTTCCGAGCTGTGCATCGAGGTTCTTCGTTTGCAGGCCTGCGCACTACAAGCGTACGGAAATTGTTACCCGAGTATGTACTTGTGCCCTATTACTAAGTTACTCAAGCAATTGGTTTTGTTATGTTGTTCTTTTCCCCCTCTTTGTTTTCTGCAACATTTTCTATCATCCACTTATGCATAAATGGAACTCTGCACAGGTCTTGGGGATTTCTATGTCCTGTTCACACACCTGATGGGGAGCCATGTGGGCTGCTGAATCATATGACTGCTTCTTGCCGTAAGGACTTGTTTCCAGACTTTTTTTTTTTTTTT